CACGGTCACGACATGTTCACAGATCACATCACCCTCACCATACGATCACACACGTTAACATCACGGTCACGACATGTTCACAGATCACATCACCCACGAACACACACACTTACACGTTCTCAACACGACCATAACACGCATCTAAAACTTTAGTTGAAACAGTTTTAAAAAACTTAATAGCTAGAAGCTTGCATATTTTCTAATCTTTAGACTTTTCTTTGTCATCTTTTAAATTTTTCCTCCGGCGAACGGCCATCCCCTTGATCGATATGCAAATGAGTGGCAGCCAGTTTTTAATCATTCAACACACCTGTAAGTTAAACTAATAAATACCTTCTATATTTCAACGAACCACCTGTGCTTTGCGTAATTACCAAAAAAAAAATTCCTTTAAAGTAATGTGCGCATGCTCAAACGAATTAGGTCGAACCACTGAGAATGCAGTTTGAACGCGGACGGCGCCGCCAAAAATTCCTAGGAAATAGCTACTCCGAGGTTAAGAAAAAAGGTGGCATTGTTTTGCAGTGGAACTATTTACGGGGACATTTTTCCAAGCTGGTTTAAAACAGTCCCACAATGCACTTTGATGTCCACTCGACCCAGTTTTTCTCTCAACTTGGGAATGGCGAGTACTATTTGTATTCTAAGCTTTTTTTTGTAGAAATTTTCGATCAGAATTTGGAATAAATTTTTAAACAGGTGCGGGCAAACTAATTCGCAAAAGATAACAAGGTAATAATCGTTTTCTTTGGACTTAAAATTAAAAATGAAATTGGATTGGATTTTCGAATTTAACCTAAACAGAAACACAGATTACTCATAATCATCTTAAACAAATTACACTGAAGTCTAAGACATCTAAATAAACACTAAATCACTCAGTTTTTGAGAGCGTCAGGGTGTGGCGTTGCTCCAGGTTTGGTCTGATGGTCGATGGCTCAAAATTTTTTTTCCTTCTTAATTATTTCAGAAACATAATTCTCTGGCATTGAGTTTTTTCTTTTTAAACCCTATTTGCATAGATGTATCTCTTACCGATAAAGAATATAATAATACTAAAGGAAAAGGCTCGCGAATTAAAATTGAAAAATACGTGCCAAAAAATTGAATTCCTGTACTCCTCTTTCTAGTCTCCACTCCACTCCACTCAACCCCACCTCCCACCCCCTACGAAAGAGATTTTTTCTCTCAAGCTATACTTTAATATGAGCATGTTTACTTTTTGACAAAAATCACGTCTTACGTTAAAAATTATTTTCAAAACAACAACATAATCAAATATCTTATCGGACCCTTTTTTTTTTTCCAGAGAAATTTTTGTGTGTGTTTTATTAAGATTTCATTAAATTTTTATAAAGCTAAATATTATTTTTCTTTTGGGTTTTCCGCTCATACAATCTATATACTGCTTTAGTATGTACTTCCAAGATATTGTTAGTTATGTTTTTCCATAAGTGCTTAAATAATATATTTGAAGATATTTGAGAAAGTGAGAGTGTGTGATTATGCAAATCTCATTCTCAGTCGAGTAATTAAGAATCGGAAAAAAAAGCGTAGCAAATAGATGTTAAATCCAGTACAGAAGCCTTGTCTGAAAGCCAGGAAAAAATTGAATTGGAGAAAAATATCTGTGACAAAATGGCTTCCATTAAAGATTAGTAATGTTGACAAGGAAGTTGGTTCATTGAGTTACTGATCTCTCGCTTTCTGACAGGTGTAAAAAACACGTAAACAGTGATCAATCACGGCGAGTGTACTTTTGGAATTTACGGCACTGCACAATTTCATCAGTCCCACCAGTTTCAGCTTTGTTTTACCGGTAAGAATTCATTTATTCTCATTTCAATTATGTTGTAGTGAATTCATAAAGTTCCGACATTTTGCAACTGTCAAGCAGAAGTACAGTACTTCAGTGGTACTAGCAAAATATTTGCCCGCGAATTTTATAATTTATCAACTAAATCATAGAAAACTAATACTAAAAAAATCTGAAATGGGAAGCTGTATGATTTAAGGAATACATAGTTCTTATGTATATATAACTCAGCTTTTTAAATATTGAACGAATTTAAAGTACTTATAAGATAAAAGGGGTCGTTTGAGAATTCACAATTCCTACGTGGCGTTTAGAGCGATTCGGTTGATAAAGTCTTCACTTCAAGTAGTTTACAGACTTCGAAAGGTTCCCAGCGCTTCTTGACTGAGATTTCAATCAAAAAAAGCTTTTTACAGCCAGGAACTCGTGGAATACCCAAAGCAATTCATATCTATGCTAGTTCGTGATGCGATGGACAATACACAAACAACAGTTTCCTTTGGCGCTATTTTTAAGACAAAGCGACTGCAAATCGTGAAAAACTGCTGAAAAAACCTCAGGTTATTCTCTTATTTATAAAATCTCAACATTTGAAAGGACGTAAGTTATATCTAGTATCTTTTTAGATGCGTTTCTTCGATATTTTTAATACTAATATTCTTGTGTATACTAACTGTTACATTGATTGTTATAAGATCAACGTTTTTCAACAAGATATTTTAGCTGCACTATTTGTAAGATTTTTTTTGTGAGAATATTTTTGAATCTGAGCCTGATTTTGATCACTTTTATTATCGTGAACACCTTTGAGTCATTTACTTATTCATTATCATTGCATTTGCCTCTAAAATCATATTTTTTATGAGATCGCGGACACCTAGCAAAGACACTGTTTCGGTAATGCGGATGACAATTTTGTTTCATTGCAGAAGAGTTTCAGCACTGATTTCCTGCTTGCTTTGTGTTCTGTGTTTTTAGCAATATATTTTGAAGACAAGTGGCAAAAAGGTAAGAAAACCTTGTGTTTGTTTTTCGAATTCCTTTTCTAGCTGTACTYCTTTTAGTATAGCTAATACTTACTTGAACGACTACTGAACAAAGGTTTCTCTCACATGTTTACGCCGGTATGAAACGCGTTTCAGAACGGCTTCCAACAAGAGCGATATTAGATCAAATATACATTGCCTTTCTTCATTTCTCTATCGACACTACCTAACATATTTTTGGCGCCTTTTTTCTTTTTTCGTTTTACTTATTCAGTTTCTTAAATATTAAGAATTAAAGATATCTTTACTTAAAATATTCAAACTGTTTTGGAACAAAACAATCTATTTAACCAATTACGTAACAACGTATTCGATTGTCCAAAAAAAAGAAAGAAAAAAAAAGAATAAAAAACGGAAAAAAAGTACCCGAGAAAAAAGCCTAAAATTCCGTGTTGAAAAAAACACTTAAGTAGTATGAGTCAGCTATTTGAAGACCATAAATCCGGGTGACTCTCTTAAAGTGACGATATTGGTTTCTAAGATTAGCCCCAATATTCATAGGTAGAAACGAGTGTACAACCACCAATATTACTATATACTACATACATATTCTTAGGATAGTTTTACCAAAATAAAGCTAGATTTAAAAATAATAATAAGAATTTCCGGTAAAACAGTGGCTTGTGTCTAGCTAAAAACATTGGCATCCATTCCACGTAAATTATATATTCAGTTCTATAAGTCAATGATCAAAATGTTTTGCTTGGAATTCAAAGATCATTCACTCTGAGGTCAGTATTTATCACTGAAAAAATGTTTGAGAGTTTAGATCGCTAAAAACACTCAAAACCAAAAGGGATTAGGAAAGAATCCTGATTAATGTCTAAAATGAGAAATATGCTTTTAGTTCTTACTTATTTGGTGCTTCAGCGTATATAAATTAGAAAACACTCAAAGGGATTTTCATTCAGACTTCCTTTGGATTTTATTTGATCCCAGTATCGATTCTCCTGGCCTTTCTCATTAAAACTCTTGCGAATTAATAGTCGCCGGAATCTTATTTACACATTTAAAGTAAGAAAGTCTAAACGCATGCTGTAAGATCTGCACTTT